TCCCCAGCCAACCATGCTGGCTGGGGAGTTCTGGGAGTTGAAGTCCACACAGCTCACCTTTGCTGAGGTTGAGGAACACTGATGTAGACACTTCTGACAGTTGCCATTTAGAAAACAGAGGTTATGAGAGAGAAATGTTATAATCTGGTCAGACATACATCTTTTCAGATTCCCTTTTCATTCTCCCATTGCCCACTTTCCTTGATGGTATCTTTTCCATGACCAGGCAAAAAGCAAATAACCCGAAATCTTGTGCATATTACAGGCTGCATTTAACAGGGCCGTATTCCAGTCTAGCAGGTTTTTTAAAAGGATTTTTTGAAGTCCATAAAAAGAAGAGTAAATGCCAATCCGTACCATTTACATTTGCAGTGTCTTATAATGTAAAGAGGTTTTCTGCACATCTTCCTTTAATTTAGGTAATTCATTTAAGTCTTAGGTTAACAGAAATCGCCGAAGAACCTTTTTTTTTAACGCACATCATTGTGTGCTTCTCTAATACAGCCGGTTTCAAAAATGAAAATTCTCCCGAGGTAAGCTCTCTTTTTAAAAGTGATCTACCCTGGTTTGTATTTTATGTGGGCTTTTGTTTCTTGGTAGACTCTTGACTCATTTGGGGAGTTTTGAAGCTAGCCATCTACTCGGCACACACAAATATACAGTAGATCTTTTATAGCCCTAATTGGAACCACATACAGTATTTTAAAACCAGGGTTTTGCACCACTGCTCTGATTCCATTAGCTAAGAGATTAAAACCCAACATTTATTGCCTGCATGAACAGAATTGCCTGTTTCAATTTCTTCCACATTCCACTCCTTTTTTTTAATCCAGTCCTTTCCATCCTTATTAAAATTCCCACCTGTCCCTCCCTCCGTAATTTATATTCAGTATTCTGCTTGAATTATAATCTGAAGGCTACTCTGTCCATGATTTTTCCATATCTTCAGTCTTCAGTGGCCCAGAAACCTGCCTGCTACCAGAAACACCAGGTTGCTGCCGAAAATGTTAGTTCTCTGTTAAGTTCCTATCTGCCATAAAAGCTGGCAATATACTGTGGCTGGGTATTAGGGAATTGAAGGTCAACAGAACTGCAGGACACCAGATGTTAGAAGACAGCCCCGTACTGCTATCAAGCCTACATACATATAATGGCAAGAATTGGGTCTTCTCTCAATTGATCCCATTCAGATTCTGTTCCTCTGGTTTCCCCCCTGCCTCTATTATCGGATTGTGTAAGCCCCCGAGCCAGAAAGTTGGACAGCCATTCTTGTACAAATTAACGGTGGTCCTTGTTCCCTGGATGTTAGTACACTCGTACATCAGTGAACCCTAAACCATCATTTAGTTTATAACCAGCCATGTATCATGACGCAGCAAGCAAGTTTCATTTACCGGGATTAAGTATCGGACCAGAGGACCAGACAATTCCTCATGGCTTTTACATCCATGTAAACAAGCAGACAAACCCACATGCACTTCTTAAGCTTTTACATTCACACGGGACAGACAGTCAGAGAGAATATCACCCACAGCCTGCAGAAGAAAGCTGTCAACAGGGATCTGGTGCCCATGTTGCTGTAAGCTAGAAATTATAATTCATGGTTTGCTGAATAAACCATATTGGCTGGGTTTCTACACCCCAAGAAACCTTGATTCACAACTCAAGTGCTTGGATTCACACAATACGCTGTTGAAGAAATCCCATTCAGGTTCTGGTGCAATTTGTGAACCCTGTGAAGTTTGTGTGAGAGCCAGTTTGCTGTAGAGGTTAAGGCACCGGGCTAGAAACTGGGAGACCTGAGTTCTAGTCCTGCTTTGGGCACGAAGCTGGCTGGGTGATCTTGGGCCAGTCCCTCCCTCTCAGCCCTAGGAAGAAGAAGGCTACGGCCAACCCCTTCTGAAATCTTGCCAAGAACATTGACTCGAAGGAACCAAAAAAAAAAAGTGAAGTTTGTACATACACGTGTAAGCTCTCTGGCCAGGATCTTTGGTGTGGGAGTAACAAAGGAGGTACAAGTCAATAAGCCTATACTTAGTTTCATTCTTCACTTGCAAAATACTGGGTTTTCGATGGCAGCATCATTTTTCTAAAGGTGGTGCAGAGACTCCACCCTTTGAGCAAGGGGCCTTCAAGACAAGTTCAAAGCATGGCACGG